TATGTATTAATTTATGTCACTGCGATAGGTACACGTGATCCATACACCCTTCACGATGAAGGTGCTGGCTTTGGACTCTGTTGGAAAGGAAATCCCAAATTACTCATTGGATTTCCGAACGACGTCAATGAACTTGTTCAGGTATCAAGTGATACCATGTCTATCATCATTCCAAAGTAACGTCGCCTCAATTCACACTAACGGGAAAGACTGAAAACCATGGGTAGGTTCCATTGCGAGTGGGATGCCGCTCAAAACAAGCCGGACGCCAGTGAAGTGCACAGCACCGCGCCCGGTTGCCTTAAGACCTGTGCCAAACTTGGCTCCGGTGTACGTTTTGGAGTTGGTGTCATCCTAGAACGGTCTTGCAGCAGCGAAGATTGTGCATCTTGCTGCCCCGGTTCCTCCTTCGACCGTCATTGTCGCTTTTTCACCTTCCGGCCTCATCATGATGTACAGCTTGTGACTACGAGAACGGACACACGTCCCCAGGTTAGGTTGTTCTTGTGATTGCCTTCCCCCCGCTGATTGTTTCTTCAGACACTTCACGACTCCTATAAGGGCTTCCGATCTGACTTCATCCACCTCTCCGTGTCTTTAACATCTTCTCTGCATTCGCATACTTGCGCCGATCCGTCCAGCCCGAGCAGTTTCCATTTGACACCACACGCGTTTGCTCATTTTTGGTCCTGGTGGGCACTCTTCGACGGCAATTTGTCCTTGCCAGTCAGACAGGGCTCGTATTTTCCCTCTAAAACAGTGTCCCCCAAGTTTGCTCGCCACCTTGCGACTGTGAAGTACCGATTAGTGGTGCCTCGCCTATTCATATCTCATGTTTACATTGATGACACGAGAGACTCCTGGGTTTCTGGAACCACCTCCTTTGTGGGCACCAAGGCTAACGTTGGCCATTTCCAAGCAGATATGCACCAAAGGGACCAAGAATCCATTGCTCCAGGCGACAGTGAGGATAGCATCAAGGTTGTGCGACATAAGCCCTTCTATGCAGCGGAGGTCGTCATGAAAGACATGGACCTTCGCGCCATGCTGGCCACCTTTTCTGAGCCCCTGAAGCAAGCCATTCCGTTGTCGTTCGAAGGCGATCGGGACACTAATAACTCCACAAAGCCGCTACCAACAATCGCTCCCTCCGACTGGATTGATGCCGACGACTTTGTGGAAACGGATTGGTCTTCCAAACATGAACCAGATATACAACTCCTCCCATTGTTGCTTTGTTCCAGATTGACTTATTTCAAGAAAAATGCCACTTCTGGAGCTATGGAGGGTAGCAAATTTGGTGTAGAGGATACGCACACGTGTCTTCTTGGAAGCGAGTCGTGTAAGCTATTTGAAGTGCTTCTCTTACTCGGCTCTCGTGCCTGATGATCCGAATGTAGCTGTTCCACAGATTGAAGTCGACCTCGCCAATCATCGAATCGCGCAACTCCGGGACCTTGCCACCCTTAACCCTCACGCCAATGAAGGGGTATATCCAAATCTTCATTTGCGAAGCAATAATGTACTAAGTGAAACACCAGACCTCAACTTCTCTGCACAGGATGATAGCCTTGTTACAAGACTACGTGAATCATTTACGGATGACCGAAATTCCTCACACGGGTTCTCGGAGCAGCAACATTGAAAACTATTATATGCCTTCTGAAACTGTCGAGGCTGACGAATGGGCAGAGTTTGAGAACGTCTATCAACTTCATGCTCCCAAGGTTTTCATGAACGATTCCATCCGTGATGTCTGACGTTCTTGGTATGCTCCTCCGATGTTGTTACTCATTACAATCTACAGATCATGCTACAGTACTATAACTGTTCAAAAGCACGACAGGGATTTGAGTATCACATGGCAACGCGGTTCGTGAAACATTCACATGCACCCTTGACTGCCCCTTGATCGTTTGCGACTTCTAGTGCTGTCAAGTTCATCAGAGACCAGGCTGAAACTGTCTCGTCAACTGGGCCCCCGACCGATCGTGAGAAGCTCAAGAGCCCCGTGAATACGGCTCAGACTGCTGCAACTGTTTTAAAAAGAATCTTGACTCGGGATCGCAATGATGTCTCGATCGAGGTTGCGGATGACGTTGCAGATGGAGACGGTGTCATCAATCCCCTTGTCGGCTGGGACGAAGGAGTGGTATTGCAGAAACGCCATTTCTGCTTGCTTTTGAAGCCTCAGATCGTTTTGCGCAATGAAGGAAGTACTGATTCCGTTTCCGTCTTGGCTGCTGTTCAGGCTAAGCTGCAATCGTTCACAATCATGGACAAGTCTAACCTGGAGGATCCGGTCAGCGGTACCGTCATGACTAGGTAATGTTCGATCCTTGAGTAGTTATATCAAAAGCCTCACTTTATGACAGGAGTTACATATCTTTGGATGGTCTCCAGACATTCTGTCCCGTAGACTTGGCATCTTGTGGCGACGGATGTGTGCCACTGGAAGTTCTCATCGACTACCGTTGTGAAAGTGACACCTTCGACAGGATAGTACCCCAGACAAGCGCTACGTGCCAGTACGATCGGTTTAATCGCCTTCGTCTACGTAACAATGTAACATCGGTCACTCGGTCTGTGCCAGACAATGAGCACCGTCGAGGCAAATATGCTCATTTACAGAATGAGACAGTGAGTCTAGCGCGTATGACTTTTCTGCTCTTATTGACAAACCGGCAGGATCTGGTCCAAGTCCGCGTTCCTCGCTTCACTGTTTCTGCCAGCGACCATCACTTCCAATCCATATCCAACATTATCACAAACCTCATACTTTTCTCCGATGCCGCTCACAAAACTCGGTTGGAGAAGCTTGAGGCTTTGCTCTTTGCCTACGACTTCACAGACTTCACATCCGCGGCAAATGTTGTTTCGGATCTACAAAGTCGTCTCAGAAACGCCCTTGAGACGCGGAGGGATGCTGAAAATCATGCGCTATCGGCAATCTCGGAGACCAGGCTGGAAATAATCAAGCTCAAGGCCCATATCTTCCTTCTGACTGAGGAACTTAATCTGATATTCGATGCCATCAAGTTAGCCCAGGATCGAGCCGATGAGCGCTCAGACCAGAAGTCAGCGCTTCTGCTTCTAGCTTCTTCTTCGGAAATTTCGTGGCAAATGCTGGATGATCATCAAGAACTTCTTGCAAAGCTTGCAGTCCGCGACATCGATTTCTCCTGGCTCAGTAAACAAGATAGTTCGACGATGGCCAATCTCGTGGTGGGAGACCTTCAGGCATTTGACGGCTCTCCTGATGCTCCCTGGCCTGAGATTGTATCCAAATTTGAGGACCCATCTAATCACCCCATGTGCAAGGTACGCCCTCTGACCTCGCTGCCCTCTCTCTTTGACATAACACGTTTCAGAGAGGAGTCTTTCTTGACGCTAATTGGGCAGTGCTTGCCCCTGTAGGGGGAATTACTATCTATGAAAAATTCCAGCTTGAGTTCCACCCAATCAGACTTCAGCTAGATGCCAGTCTTGGTCAGCGAATCATGGAATACGTCTGGCCGGCACGGAGAAGTAGGAACAGGGGCATCGACACTGCATCTCCGTGCGATACGCACCACCCCAAACCTCGAGCGTCATTGGATTCTTCTAAACTCCTCAACCAACCACGCTCGTCGCTCGATTCCACCAGCCTCACTCCTCCTCTACGTAAGTTAGGCTCCTCAAGGTCGTTCACAGATCTGCGGAGTGCGGCGGCAGACTCCATGATCATGCCATATCCTGCTACACAATCCAATCAGCGTTCTTTCACAGCAGATGCGATGGATGAATCTCGTAGACACAAACACGCGATCATACGACAGGTATCGTTGGAACACAAGACCGATTTCGATGAGATGAAAACGCGCTCCTCCCAAAAAAACTTCGTGCTTGTTAAGATCTCCAGGTTAGTTCACAAGAAGTGGACAATTGCGCACGAGGATGCTCACATCGATTTCTCAGTTTGGAGTTGCTGCTAAGCATCATGAAGGCTTCATCTTTTGAATGCCGTGATGCGCGCATTCGAACGCACGCATTGGAGATTAGAAACCAGACCTGGAGTGTATGTTTCATTATCTATGCGCTCAATATTGTCGACTAAGTTCGACGCTGTAGTTCGAAGAGCTAGTTGATCAGTTTATCCCATCGGATCTCACGTGGAAAGGCTGGGTCAAGATAGCTTTGCATCAACCATTGGTTCCGGTGTTCCCTGTGGCTCGAGAGCTATTCTCAAAGACGAAGCTAACAGCTTCTAAAAGTGTCTCGCAGCTAGATCCTCGACCCCCTCGGAAAATACTGAAGCTAAAACCAAAGCGAACGGACACCAACTCAACAGCTGCACCAGCGAGACCAGGGACATCATCCTCATGTGGTGCCAACCCTAGTAGATTTGTTGGAATGTCCCTCACGGACGAGCCCACCGATATGGATGAATCAACTCCTGCCCCTATTGTCCCAGATATTAGTCGTCCGTCAAGCCGCGCTCGGCTGCTCAGTGTTTTCAGTCGCAGCAGAAGGAGTCTAGACAGTAACCCCGACGCAAGTGATTCTACTTGACTTGTTACAGGCTATTGACTTATTATGTAGTCGGGACGCCAGTCTGTAGATCATCGCGATACTGACTATCCAGTATCCAAGGAAGGTCTCTGATGAATGCTCACAAGGACTCTATCTTACTGCTTGCTCTTAATTCATTTCGCCTGCTTGTTGGTACTATAGTAGTGTCACTATTCTGCATCTGCCTTGCAATGCATGTACATATCAGGGCCAGGCCCCAGATATCGGATCCCGTGACAAAAGGTTTCAGGTACCATGAGCCCATGTGAACGTAGATAACCAAATAAAATATCCATATTCACATAGTCCAGCACACGAACGTGTTGCTATTAATATCGGCGCTCCAGCGGTGATGAGCGGCCCCACTGGCAGAACTACTACTAGGAGAAGAAGGTCTGGGCCTACTATAAGTTCTATTCTTCAAGAAAGAGACGTACTTGAAACTTTCCATGCCTTCCGTCAGGATAAGGAAGACTCCATCTACATATCTTCTCCTCCCCACCAGATTCGACAATGATATCGAGGCATCATCATCGCGGTCCATCACGGTACGCGGACAGCGTAGTATGGGCAGCCTTCCCAGACCTACCAACGCGCAAATTGTTTCTGCTCCGGGCAACAAGCAACGTTTGAGGAGCCACACGACAAGTGGGGCGTTCGAGTCTGTTTCCCGCCCTCCCATTAACCGTGGAAGGTCTGGGTCTAGAAGTAAGGTCGTTGAGCACGTTCTAGCCTCTCGCAGGCCATCCGTGTCATCTCCCTCGCTGTCACATCACGGTTCTCCTGCAGTAGACGACCATGGGACCATCAGGGATAGGTTGCAAGTTTCTCAGACCGACATTTCGACTCACAGCCAACCTGGTGTCAGGGCACCCGGTATCGTAGAAAGCGCACTCGAACCGCAACAAAGCCAGCAGCTCGACGAAAGTATTATCCATGATGATATAGTGGATCATTTGGATGCAATTGGTATTGCTGGATTTCTTTCAGCGTTAGGTTACACTGTTCTTATGCCTCCAGATCCTCAGGTCGCTATTGTATCTAGTCTGGCCAATGCCGCTAATTCTATTCTAATGTAAGTGTTCTTCATGTTCAAATGGATCAATGGAGTTTAACAATTGTATCAGCCCTCCGTTGAGCTTCTACTCTCGAAAACCAGTAATTGCGTTGTTTTATCCCAGTGGACGACAAGGCCGGGACATGGAATTCGCTGGACATGCTCAAATTGAATTTGATGGCATGGACGAATTATTAGACAGACATGTCGAAGATGTTCTAACTGGTCGGTCCAAGGTCAAGCGTACACTCCAAGGCGTTTGGTCGTTTTTGAAAACACGTCAGTGTATCTTCAGTCATTTGTATTTTGATGCTTGCTCACGCTCTTCGTAGCGATAGGCGTAAGTCCGTTATGTAGCAATATGATTTATTTGTGGCTTACTAACTGTGATTGCAGATCATAACGGGCATTTACGGTTTTCTTGTTGGTACGGAGATCTGTCGACTTCTATTATTAGGTGCTGACCTTTCACAGTGTTCTGGGGAGCTGCGCTGGTGTTATTTTTGCTGAAGTGGATTAATCTACACAATGCAAATACCCAGGGTTTTTGGGTTGAAGTATGCTCTCAGGTCGTGTGTGGTCCGTCGTTGTACATTTCCCATAAACTTCCATAACCCTTTCCATCAGGTTTATTCACCGTCACCGGTATTGGCCTAATCCCTGCGCGTGCTCTTGACACATATAGTGGGCCCCTGTGATCTTTGGTCTCAACGCAATAACCAACTTTCCAAGCAGGAATCTGTAAAGTTTGGCACTACAAGCATAAAACAACGAAGCTACGAGATAAAGCTGGTCTCCCTCAGCTATTCGATGTCGATGACTTGCCCGATCCTGCCTACGACCCTTCCTTTGTCCATGTTCTCACTGAACGGGAGCAACAGGATTTACATCATCGTACGTACCTAGACTTGTAGTGGCTCATGACAGGCGTCGCTTACTTCTATGACGCAGAACAAGTTAAGTTTCACGAGAGTCAGACATGGTACCGCCCACACGGTACTGTGACCCACCGAGTAAGTTCTTTCATATCTATTGCATGACAATGCATTGTTGACATCATTTGGAAGGCATTTCCAATCAAGTGCGTCCTTCTGACTCGGGTTATGTCTTTGCTCATATCCGCAATGCGTATCACAGTACGGCACTCTGGATATGTCTCTTTATCGATGGAAATTCTGCCTTTCAGGTAAATGTCGCGAAAAGCAAAACTACGCCTATTTACTAGTGTCCAGGTCATGCTGTCAAGTTGCATGTGGTCTATGAACCGGTAAGCACTTTTCTGAGGCTAAATTTGTATCGAGCTAATTCTCTCCGCCAGATTTGAGCGACCGGCGTGGACCACAGGATCACTCATTCCCGCGTCGTTTTTGTGCGGGATAATCGCTGCAATATTGATTTGGCGAGGTGGAAAACTGACCAGACGCACGGAGAAGATCGAAAACACCCTACGAACGGCGCTTGCGATGGACCAGTACGATGGTCTTTTGCACGTGCCAACCACAAATATTTCGACAAATTATCCTAGTGAACTCCCCGGCCAAACCAGTACCGCCGGTACACATGACTTGCACGCGTCTTCGGAGAAGCGTGATAATAGCGGTGCGATCTGTGCTCCTCCAGCAGTATCGCCTATTGTAGAAGAAATGATGATTAAATAGATTGACCACTCATCAGCCTACCTTTATACCTCGTACCTTCACTCTCACATTGTAGATCTGAGGCGTTGGATATTGCATGCTAATATCATTTATTCCATGGAACGCAATACGGTACATTAAGGATTGTTGAAATCCGACTACTACGAACATAGACGCGCTAAGCTCCTGCCTCACTCCCGAGACACTTTGCGGGCCCACAAAGCAGCAACTATCTGTTGCCCTGTCCATATTGACGACAAGCTCGCCGGACATTGTTTTCTTTTTCTCGCAACAACTACCCGAGGTCAAGTGTAGGCCAGTTCCCCAACAGAAGGGCCATAATAATTTAACCACTTTGTGGGCGCTGTTGAAGCGCAATGTGTGAAGAATTAGGCATTAGCTCTGGCCCAGCGTGCGGCAGCAACCAAGTTGGCCAAGGAAGCTTCGGTTTCCTTCCAGCCACGAGTCTTCAGACCACAGTCCTGTAAAAAGGTATGAGTGGTGGGTTTAAAGCGAACACTGGATATTCTACTTACAGGGTTGATGAACATGAGGTGGTCGGGAATAATGGCCAGGGTGGTCTGGAGACGCTCAATGATCTCTTTCTCGCTGGGGACACGAGGCGAGTGGATGTCGTAGACACCAGGACCAATCTGGTTGGAGTAACCGTATTGTTTGAAGGTGTGGAGGAGCTTCATGTCACTCTTTGAGAACTCGATAGAGATGACATCGGCATCGAGACGCTGAATGGAGGGGAAGATGTCGCCGAAGTCGGAGTAGCAGAAGTGAGAGTGGGTCTGAGTGGCATCGCTCACACCAGCGGTGGAGAGCTTAAAGGTGTCCACAGCCCATTGCAAGTACTCATCCCAGTCAGAACGACGGAGAGGAAGCTAAAGAGTCTTGATTAACAGCAAGTTACTCTGATCACGCGAAGACACTTACACCCTCACGAATAGCAGGCTCGTCGACCTGGATGGCACTGATACCAGCCTTCTCGAGATCAAGGACCTCATCACGAAGCGCAAGAGCAAGCTGCTGCGACTGCAGCTTACGTGGAACATCGTCACGAGGGAAGGACCAGTTCAAGATAGTGACAGGGCCAGAAAGCATACCCTTCATGGGCTTGGTGGAGACGCTCTGTGCGTAACTGCTCCACTTGACAGTCATCGGCTTGGGACGGCTAACGTCGGACACGATGATGGGGGGACGGACATAACTGTTGGTAAAACAATAAGGCTCGATTATTTAAGTTTCCTTGTGACGCAATACTCACCGAGATCCGTAACTTTGCACCCAGGCGTTTTGAGTGAAGACGAAGCCGTTCAGTTGCTCGCCGAAGTATTGAACCATGTCATTACGTTCAGGCTCGCCGTGGACGAGGAGGTCGAGGCCAACTTTCTCCTGGAACTCGACGACCATCTCAATCTCCTTCTTGATGAACTCATCGTATTCAGCCTCGGAGATCTCGCCCTTGCCGAGCTTGGCACGGGCAGTACGGATCTCTTTGGTCTGAGGGAAAGAACCGATGGTAGTGGTAGGGAACCTGGGCAAGTTGAGGTGCTTGGCCTGGACTTCCTTGCGAGTGGCGAAGGGACTCTTGCGGTCGTACATGTCAGGGGTAATGGCAGCAACACGCTTGCGAACAGCGTCATCCGAGGTGGACTCGAACTGGCGACGCTTGGCAATGGAGACCTTGTTAGCCTCAAGGGCAGCAGAGACCTTGGGGTCTTGAGAGCCAGAGAGAACAGCTGCGATGGTGGCAACCTCGGACGCCTTCTCAAGGGCAAACGAGAACCAGTCCCTTTGTTGCTCGGTGAGCTTCTTCTCGGAAGCAAGAGTGACAGGGGTGTGCAAGAGAGAAGAAGAGGTGGCAACGATGACACGGTCAGCACCGAGAGCAGCGATGGCAGTCTGTGCATACTTGATGGCAACTGCAAAGTCTGCTTTCCAGATGTTACGTCCAGAAACAACACCAAGAGAAATCACGATGGGAGTGGACTTGATGGCAGCAAGAACCCCGCCGAGCTGCTGGGGTGCACGGACGAGATCAATGTGGAGGCCAGCAATGGGGAGCTTGGCGATGAAGTTGATGTTGGAGTCCAAGCGGTTGAAGTAGGTGGTGAGCATGATCTTGGGAGCGACAGGGACAAGCTCAGCGTAAGCAAACGCATACTGCTTGTCGAGTTCAGCACCCTTGTCGAGAACAAGGATGGGTTCATCAATCTGGACGGATTCGACGCCAGCAGCCTTGAGCTCAGACAGGAGCTGCTTGTAAACAGGCAGGATCTTGGAGAGCAACGAGATAGGCTGGAAAGTGGCGGATGCTTCCTTGGCGGCCTTGCCAAGGACAAGGTAAGAGATGGGGCCGAGAACAACTGGGCGCGTGACAACGCCAGCCGCTTTGGCCTCCTTGTACTCGGCAAGGACCTTGTTGTAGAGGAGCTTGAAGTCGGTCTCCTCGGACAACTCTGGGACGACAAAGTGGTAGTTGGAGTCGAACCTGAAACATCAAATCAAATCAACAACACCATTTAGGGATAGTGAAACTAAGACACGTGCCATTTCTTCATTTCACAAGCGGGCACATCAACGCCGCCAGCCTGGCGACCACGGCCCATAGCGAAGAAGACGTCGAGGGCAGAAAGCCCAAGACCCTGGTAACGCTTAGGGATGGCGTTGAATGCCGCAGAGTGGTCAAGCACGTGGTCATAGAGGGAGAATTCTCCACTATAAATATATTTATCAGATTAATAAACATGTTTGATCTCGAAGAGAGTACCAACCTGGGGATCAAGTCGACACCTCGTTCTTTGAGGCTAGTCCAGCTGGACTTTTTGACATCGGCAGCAGCCTTGAGCAAATCCTCTGCGGAGAGCTTGCCAGCCCAGTAGGCTTCAACAGCCTTCTTCACCTCACGATTTGCACCTATCAATCGAGATCAGATACGTCTAGCTTATGATCAAGATTATCTATGTACCGATGCGGGGGAAACCAAGAACGCTTGACGACACCATTCTGAATGAGTTATGGAGGTAGGAAGAAGGGAATTAAGAGGCTATCGATTGAGTTGCGTGATTTTGAGTTATAACTTGTCTGAGTTCGCGCCTGCCCTGAGTTCACATTGCACAATAGCAATCGATCAAAGATCTAATCAATTGCCACGACACATGTACATGCCACCCTATCTCAATCTGCCAGCATTTGCCAGTTAAGACATCCCTGAGAGGACTCATGTTCTTCTCCATCCTCTCCCATGAACATGGGAGTTCATCGCATAAAACGCCTTCGTTGTCTACTATTTCGCACACGCCTAATTACTCTCCCATTCTATCAAGGCTGGACGCCCACTCGATAGGTTACCTACCCTATCACGGGTTTCTGGACATCCGAACGCTCACTCAGTAGATTGCCTAGCTTATCATGGTTTAATTATTGGATCAAAAATCTGACGGCTTGATTACTAACGTACGCTAGGGTATGACTACTGTAGTATGTACCAATCAGAAGATCTTAAACCGTGAAACTACATTGCGAAACGAGAACCGACGATGTCCCTTTGGTCTCATCTTGACAGGCATGTGAGCAAGCATCGGTTCATCAAGAGTCTGCCCTTCAGACAAGTCTGCCACGTCAATGGCAGGCTCATGGGCATGCGTTTCCGGAGTAATGGGTCCCTCGCTCTCTACCCCTGAAGAAACAGAACGCATGGAACAGCCCGATAGGCTATCCCGTGACTCGTAAAGTCGATAGTCCTGTGGCTCGAAGGTTTGAATATGGAGTTGCGAGGACGTCCTGTTGATGCTCGCGGGTGGTAAGTCACTAGGTCGTCGAGATGTAGGCGCGGAGCCGCGATAAGCCCACTTAGGATAAGGAGGACCGCCGTCGGAGTAGAAGTTGGATATCGTCGATGAGCGATTGACGAGGGTTGTGTCAGCTACGACTTGATTGAACATCAAATTAGTCAACGGTGAGGCGCGTCTATAGTAGTCGTCGCGAGCAGCTTCTCGTACGTTGTCCGACGCGTCGCGGAGCTCGGCGTCGCTCATGTAGAAGGTATCAAGTTTGAGGATCTCTTCTCTGAGCTCAGGAAGGCTGATTCGCGAGAACGGTTGTAGGCGAAAGATGCGCTTGAGAATTTCGTTGAAAGGTCTCGAGATGGGAAGGATCTCGCGAAGGAAGTCCACGTTGTAGAGATATCCGAGGAAGCCCTCGTCCGAGGGTGTCGCAAATCGCCAAGGATTGCGACCTGAAACCATGTTCACAAGAATAACACCCAGTGACCAGATATCCGTGTGAAGCGGCGAGTAATGAGGGTACTTCATCTCACGACTAATACACTCTGGAATGTAGAACATCAAATAGTGCACATATGCAATTTGATATCGGAACATACCAGGACTCATATAATATGAACTGCCTACTCCGAATTCCTGACTGAGACGACTTTTGGTCGCTAGCCCGAAATCTGCGATACGAATATCCAAACCATCCTGGCAACAGAGAACGTTCTCTGGTTTCAGGTCACGGTGGTACACACCCAACTGATGACAGGCGTGTAAGCCATCGAGAAGCTCGACAAATGCCCTCTTGATGAGCGGGGACATTGTTCTGGTAGATACGATTCTCGATGATGGCGGTGTAGAGGTCCCCACCTGCGCAATAGTCGAGCACGAAGTAGATGTAAAGTTCTTCCTCGATGATCTCGTGAAGGGTGCAGATATGTGGTGACGAGCTGGATACTAAGGAGTGCAATAAGATCTCACGTCTCTGGCATACGAGGCGCTCAGGAGAGAGTTCTGTTTTCGGTAAGCACTTGATTGCATAGTAGACAGGTTCGCATGGGTCTGATCGAGCATCGAGAGCACGATAGACGTTTCCGTAGGAACCGGAACCAATCATGTTGACGAGCTCGAAGCGACCGTTGCCGACGATCTGACCTGAGAAATTTGGGAGGACTTCGCTATAATTCATTATGCTGATCAGTATGTTGAAAGTAACGAAGTTTTTCCAAACGAGATGTGAATTTGAAGTCGATTGTTGAACTTGCTGAGCGTCAGTACTTCTTGGTTGATGGGTCGACGTTGAGGTTAGTGTCAAGGGATAAGGAAGGGATCGTGCATGATTTTATACTCTCGGTTGTCTGAGGTCTCACTTGCAACTTGGTGGTGACGATGTTAGCCATAAATTACCCGAAAAGGTAATACTCCTGACAACATACCCGATTAGTCCAAATCCAAATGTTTGGAGCGCTCCAGGACCACTGACATCAGGTACTTGGTCACGAGTTATCGGATTCATCATGTTCGAGTTCTTCGTCTATAAAGGTCTGGCTAGTAGTAGTCATCACGGGTCTAGCATGATCCAAAAACCTGCGGTCCGGATCCCCACAGTGGTTTGTTCTTAAGGCGTGTTTAAAAATTGCAAGCGAATCATCCCCCTTGATCTCCACTTTGTTTTTCTCATCATGTCTGACAACCCATCATTCGTGCTCAAAGGCATTCTGGACACTGAGATCCAGCAAAAGCCGGTTCCAGAGAGCAGTGAGTCTATCTTTGGATGGTTCGTTCACGCTCGCTAAATCCCCTTATCTTGTGCAGTTGACCCCAATGAAGTCCTTGTGCAAGTGAAGAAGACAGGTGCGTTCACAGAGTCTTTTTGTCCTTTATTTTTCTCCCAAGGCTCATCCGGCACGACAACAAGGAATCTGCGGCTCAGATGTACGCCCCTATCTATTGTCCTGAACCAGGATACCAAGTCATCTCCTCCAGGTACACTTCCTTCTCCATGGAAGGATCGGAGATTTTGTTGTAGAGAAGCCCATGGTGGGTCAGGTTGGATAGGATCCACGGCCAAGCCTCATCGTTAGCTATTAGGTGCTGGGTCACGAGGCAGCAGGCGTGGTCTCGAAAGGTACGTCCATAACCCACCTCTTATTCAGAATAATACTTTATCTCGACTTTCAACTATAGTTGGTTCTAGTGTAACCAATGTCAGAGTGGGTGATCGAGTGGCCATGGAGCCTGGCGCAACATGTCGCAAGTGCGAAGCTTGCAAGGAGGGTCGCTACCAGGTAAGGATGGTTTTGCGCTCCAATTTTGTTGCCTGACGGTCTCGAGTAGCTTTGCCCCGATGTTATCTTCGCTGCTACTCCTCCCACAGATGGCACTCTCGCTCGTTACTACCGCCTACCGTCTGATCTCGCTTACCCACTTCCACCAAACCTCAGTCTCGAGGATGGAGCGATGGTGAGCGGTTGACCACATGGCATCACATTTCACTGACATTCGACTCTGTTCTAGATGGAACCTCTTTCCGTGGCAGTCCATGCTGTCTCGAAGCTCGGTGATTTGCGGTCGAACCAGTCCGTCGCTGTCTTTGGCTGTGGACCGGTTGGACTTCTATGCATGGCCGTTGCGAAAGCTCTTGGCGCTTCCCGTGTTATCGCTGTCGATATCGTTCCTAGCCGTCTCGAATTCGCCAAAGCATATGCTGCAACTGACGTTTTCCTACCTCCTCCTATGGAGAAGGACGAGTCGAGAGTCGCGTTCTCGTTGCGCAATGCCCAGGCGATGAAGGAGAAGCTCGGAATCGCTGATCGTGGACCTCAGGCAATTGACCTGGTTTTGGATGCTTCTGGTGCGGAGGTCTCTATTCAGACTGGTATCCGGGTCGTCAAGAGTGGTGGCACCTACGTTCAGGTAGGTTGAAATCAACAGCACTGAAGGGGCTGTCTGATTGATTATGAATAGGTCGGCATGGGTAACCCCAATGTCAACGTCGACATGTTTGTTGTCATTTGCAAGGAACTCGTCCTCAAGGGCTCTTTCCGATATGGCGTAAGCTCTTTGGTCATTCTTTCTCTCGGAGGCATTGGTTGACCTTTGTTGAATGAAGCCTGGTGACTACCCTCTCGCTATCGCCCTTGCTGCGTCAGGTAAAGTTGACGTCAAGCCCCTTGTGTCGCACCGGTATGCTAGCTGTCAGAATAACTGTTCAACGTTTGTCGTACTAAGAATTTCAATAGCTTCCCATTCACGCAGGCGCGCGAGGCATTTGAAACTACTCGCAATGGCAAGAGCCCCGATGGCAAGGGGGTCATCAAGGCCATCATTTCCGGACCTGATGTCGACATCAACGAGGCTTGAAAATTTAATTTGCAGGGAAAACATAGCGTGACGTGATTCAGGATCATGTATTTCGAGTCTGTATCGTATTCGAATTTTTGTTGTTTTGATAGTGTTCGTTGCATTGAAAGTGGCAAGACTCAAGTTACGTCATCCTCAATTGTAACATTTCCTTTCATTTGGCACAAAGTATTGTGCGGGGAAATCCTTGAAGTTGCCACTTCAAGCTCGGAGTGACTCAGACACTTCACAACTGCATTTGACTCTAGTACTAGAACATAGGTTGGACACGCCAGCCCAGTGCTGTTTCAAACTTGAGTTCGTCCATTATCTCTACCTATGGCTGGGTTCAGCGTGCGGAATGCATACTACCTTCGCGTATCAGCAAGTTCAGTAATACCTCTGTATGTAAGCGCATGTCCGTGCCCAATACACGACCTGTTCTAATGACCGCTATAATCAGCTCTACCTCGATGAAAGACACGTAGATTGGATGTCAGACGCAGTACTACAGCATGTTCTGGCTGATCTGCGACCACTGTCAGTCTGTTCGGCCGCGGCTCTCGTGCATGCTTCTCAGATCTTTTCAGGGTTCTACCAAAGCTGCAAGCTGAGAAAGACATCCACTTTGGTCCAGGGGCTTCCAGTGGGAGGAAGGGAGCGGTGGACGTTCATCGGGGAGGTGCGAGTTTTATGTGTGCGAAACTGCGAATACAGTATATAACTCACTTGCAGAGACTTATCAAGCCGCCTTTTTCTTCCAGAAGACGGAACCTCATAATGTGATCATCAAGGCGCGTACCAGCTAACTCGAATATATTTCTCCCAAATGCCCTCTGACACTCTGCAGACGCGTTCATTTGTTCCAGCACCCCCACCTCCTTCCAAGGTTAATATACCCCCATCACAGCTGGCAAAGTCCAAAAGCAGAAGTGGGAAGAGAAGAAGCAGAGCGTCGGAGAATAAGGATGCTCAAGCAGCTTCTGGCCGCAAGAGACGGAAGACGAAAGGCAGATCTCGAGCTCATAGTGATGAAGAGGAGGAGGAAGAAGAGGAGGAAGTAATAAGCCTTTCAGATGGCGACAGTGAAACGGATAAGATACAAGGAGCTTCTCGAGAGACTCCTGCTACGATTCGACGTTCGCAGAGAACGAGAAAGGTTCCTGTCGGGGGCTATCGTGAAGACGTCGAGGACCCTATGGACGTTAGTCCTGACGAATCTCTAGATGTGGAGATGGCTGTTCCAACAGAGACTACCCAGCGAGACGAGGTTCTCGCAGAGGAACTCAGCGACCACGATGTCCTTGTGATAGATCACAGCGCTGAAATATCAACCACGGTTAAACAAGAAGACACAGAAAAGTCCTTGGAATCTACTACGGAAACCGCTCTTGGTTCGGAAACCGTCGTGATTACTTCTGGGCCAAGTCGATCGTTCATAGAGATTGACGACGAAGACGACAAAAAAGACAAGCTGGCACTGAAGCTCAAATACCAAGGTTTCAACATCTTTGGCCGTTGTCTCTGCGTAGTTGTGGAACCATGGCCTCCGATTCGATCTGCCACACGAGCGCCATCCGTGATGCCTTTGACAAATGAGGCATTAAGAGGCTCGACCATCGCACCTCCTGATTTCGTGCCTAGCAAAGACAACCAAAGAGCCCGCACGCCTCTCTTCCTTCCAGAGTTTGACAGAGGTAGAAGCGAGACTCCCGCTCCTTTTCCTCGAGCAAAGACCTTGCCTCCAGTTCCCCTCTTTAATGACCCTGCCCCCGATTCTGATGACGATGGCTACGGCAGTGATGATCTTATGATATTCAGCCAGGCACTCAATGCAGCTGGTGGCATGCACGTTGCAGCTGCAGATGACGATGATGAGATGGATGGAGCAGTATTATTCGGGGATGCAGATGAAGTGAGGGAGTTTTCGTAGTAAGGCTACATCGTCTATTAGATATCTAAACTCGATCCGTAATTTTATGCGCGCCCTATCTCTCTTAATATCTCCAACCTACGTGCTTCAGAGACTTGTCTGAATCCTGCGTTCAGCATGTCGAAGAGACCATGTCCCCCAGACAATGCACGAAGGCGGGTTGAATAATCCAGCATGCGGCTAAGCGGTGCGACTGCATGAATGGTGCGTTTGAGTCGTGGGGTGTCGTTTGAAAACTTGGATGATGTAGAGGCAGCAGATGAAGGCGATAGTTCTTCTGGAGGGATATACAATCCATCCGTAGAGTACGCAACTACTTCGTCTCCGTCCATAGCTGACGTGTCGGAAGCAAGGTCCAAAACTTCGCCACCGTTTTCAGTAAGATCTTTGACAACCTTTCCCATGGTGTCCTCATGGAGAGATATCTTGAGCTTGATGAATGGCTCTAACACGGGACCCATTCCTGCTCCTCGTATTCGAGTTCGTAAAATGGATGAACTAGCACCGGCAAGAATAGACGTTGGAATGTCACGGGGAAGGTTGTAGTCCGTGACGTGGATCTTAATGTGAGAGAGCGGCAGGGATGTATGTGGCGAATTCGATAGGGAGCTGGACAAGCCCCGAGCGATATTTGCCATAGGGTCCAGTTGATCCCGGAAGGCATCTGGAGACAACAGAGGCTTTCCACTTGGGCCCAAGACAATGTTACCATCCCAGACCGGATCGCCCTGCTCGTCATCAGCAAGAGGTTCCACCGTCATCAGGATCTTGATTGCGACCGGTTTTCCTGCAACTTCAGTGGCCCAATTGTTTACATTGGAGCTAAGCCCAGGTCCCAGAGATTCACGATAACTGACGCGGCGGCTACCCAATTCAAAATTAACATCCCATTCGTCCCGTAGTCTCCCTTCGACAATTTCGAGATGTAAGGCACCTAATCCGTGAACAAGTAATTGGCCCTCCTGCATATCGACCCGAACAGAAGGGTCCGTGCGAGATAAAGCATGTAAGGCCTCTTGTACAGGGTCGAGGTCAGAATGGGACTTAGGTATGACGGAAGCCGACATAACCGCGGGTGGTGGAGCTACTCCTCGAAGGGATGTTTGCGATGAG